CGCTCAGGCCGTCCCTCCGGAAGCCGAGCTGAAGCTCGGCCCTCCCGGAGAACGCCGAGCCGGAACTCGGGCCCCGCCCCTCCGAGCGCCTGCCGGGTGTGCCGGTCCGGACCGTCCAAGTTCTGGTCTGCCCGTTCCCGGGACTCCGCGGATTCTTCCCGACCCTCGCCGCTCCTCAGTCTGCCTCCCCTTTGAATCATCTAGACCCCCAGTCTCAGTGCTCGTGTTCCCACGGGCCCGCGTGCCCACGCGGTAGACCTCCAAACAAAAGCTTGCTGGGCTTAGCCAGACTTCAGGCCTTCCATTCACGGCTCTATGTCAGAGCCTCAGTCGCCCAGGGCTTGGGAGGTTTTTTGCGGGGTTTGCTGAAGCCCCAACCCAGCCTGTCCCCTAAATAACGGATTGCTGGGGATCACCAAGGTGTCCTCCCTATCAAGCCACATGGCCAATTTTAGGCGACTTGACCAGTCAACCGAAGCCCCTACCACTGACCCTCTAGTCCGACCCACTTGCTGCTGGGAACTTTCCTTCCTAGCCTCCCACGCGTCTGCTGGTGTGGCCGTGGGGCGGAGCCGCATGCCTCAGCTGGCGTTCTGACTCACCCAAGACAGCATGAGTACCTGAACAGCATGCCAAAGCACCGCCCCGAGAAGAAAGTGGGTTAGAGGTTGGACGGGAAGAACTTCCAGAGTGGGGTGCAGTTTAGAACCTAGAGACTGTTGTGGGAAACACACCTGTCCTGGACAACCCTCAGAGGAGGAGACACCCACCCCGTGGGCCTGATGAGGGACGTGCATTCTTTGGAGAAAGAAATTCAAACCCAGTTGCTGCTGGGGTGGCACAGAGCCTAGCACATAGGAGGGACTCAATGGTCATGAAAATACGGAGTGGCAGAAGAGCATATCCAAAAAAAACCACATTGCTTTATTTTGAGACAAAGAACATTGTATAAAAAAAACTCCAGTTGTAGAAATCCGCATAGACACACAGCAAGTTTATATACAGATACTGTACACGTGGGCCCTGCCCTTAGGCTACACTCTAGGCAGACTGTACACATGGGCACTGCCCTTACAGCTACACTCCAAGCACAGGTTGGCACAGCTCCCCTGCTGGGACAGCTCTGTTGCCCCAGGATGGGGGGAGAACACAGTGCCTGGCTACAAACCTCTCTGTGGCAGCTCCACAGAAGTCTTGCTGGAGAATGCTGGGTCAGCCCAAGCATGCCACCTCTTCTGTTATCTGGCTCTCAAGCAGGAAACTTTCTTTTCCTTCAGTCAGTTCATGTGGACATCCCACCTCCCTCTCTCGGAGGAGCATCTTTGCCAAGCTCTGTCCATCCACATGGCCCCAGGCCTCTTCCAGCTCAGCTCCCAACTGTGCCCTTTTTAAGGGACCATGTCTACACAGCTTGTTTCTTTGGCTTAAAGGTAGGAGTGGTGGGGAAGGACTGTCCCCGCTTCTTTCTCCGTCCCTCAGAGGTGGAGGTGGAGATGGCCCTACCAGGCTGGTCGACCTCCTTTGGGTTGAAACCCTTAATACTGACCCATTTTGTCACTGCGTGACAGCTTGTGCATGTGGTGGGAGTAGTTCCCATGACTGAGGCTTTGGGAGTAGCCCCAGGATGGGTGCGGGGTGCCTGCCCCGTCCCCTCAGTCCAGTTCTAATCCGTAAGGCCAGATGTGGCATGCACCTTCACTGGATTTGCAGCAGCAGCAGTGGCAGGAGCAGCACAGTCCAGGCAAGTGGGAAGAGGCGGGGGGCAGCACTGTGACCGATGCTATGTAAAACCTGCACCTCCGGGTCATCTGTAAGGTGAGAGGGCAGAAGCCCCCCATGTGAGTGGCCCCACTATTTGCACTGGCCCTCAGACCAACAGGATTTCCCCAGCCCCTGCCTAGCAAAGGAGCAGGCTCCCTTCCATGCACCAGGCCCAATCTGCTCCAGCTACCCACCTGCTGCAAGCCTCTTCTCCTGTGGGTTGACATGGGCCTGAGGACTGTGAGCTGAAAGACAAGAGTGGTAGTAGGTCAGGTACTGTACCAGACAGGTGGGCTGGACTGTGGGTGGACTGGACAGTGGGACTTCCAAACCATTCCAGAACACAAGATCACACTCAACATAGAGACGGAGGAAGGTAGCCCACAGGGCCCTGACACTCACTGATTTTGCCATTGACAGTCACCTTCAATCTCAAGCAACGGTCTTCTTGGCGGTGGATGGGTTTGGCTGCAAGATAAGCCCACAGGAAGTTAAGGAAGAAACCTTTGCCGGAAGAAAATATAAGCCCAAATGCCTTGGTCTTGCTTTCTTGGCTCTCTGCTAATATTAATTCTTCTCTTCCCTCTAATCTTGATCTGCACCCTCCTTGGTTTTTGCCTCCCTCCTGCCCAATGTTCAGTCTGATCTTCCATTCTTGGGAATAACTCAGCTTTGGCAATGGTGGTAAAAAGAACACAGACACTGCCCCCTTCCCACATTCCATCCTTCACTCCTCAAAACCTGAAATTGAGTGAGGCCTCCACATTATGTCCCTTTACCTGGGCCCCACTGACAGAGTGAGACCTATTATAGATCCATTCTACACAAAGCTGATCTTACAACTTTAAAATCCAGTTGTAGAAATCAGCATAGACACATGGCAAGTGGCTCTCCACAGCTCTCAGATAAAGTCTCAACTCCTTAGCCCTTTTGGGCCTCCATGATCTGTTCTGTTTGCCTCTCTAAGCTCAGTTCTCCCCACTTCCTGTGTCCCTCCCACTCCAGCCAGGCTGAACCATAGGAGGTTCCCTGAAGATGACATGCTGCCTTTCTGCATGTACCTTCATGCTTGGCCAACTCCTCTGCTGATCCTAAGCTCTGGGATCATGCTTCCCATTAAGCCTCCCCTGAGCCTCCCAACCTAGCAGGTGCTCAGGTAATTTCCTCAAGGCCCCTGTGCTCATGTCTGCCACATCATACTGTTCTTTTTATTTTATTTTTATTTTTGGAGTTAAGGTCTCACTCTGTCACCAAGGCTGCAGTGCACAATCATGGTTCACCACAGCCTTAACCTCCTGGGCTCAGGCCATCTTTTTACCTCAGCCTCCCAAGTAACTGGGGCTAGAGGCACACACCATTGTGACAGACTAGTTTTTAAAAATTTTTTTGTAGAGACAAGGTATCACTTTATTGCCCAGGCTGGTCTTGAACTCCTAGTTCAAGCAATCCTCCTGCCTAGCCTCCCAAAGTGCTGGGATTATGGGCATGAGCCACCACGCCCACCCTCGTCACACTGTTCTAATGGTCTGTTAACCTATGTGTGTTTCTTCCCAGCTTCCTTGGGGACAGGGGCTCCATAGTGTTTTGTTGATCTCTGGGCCCAAAGTGCCAAGCAGAGTCTCTGGCACACAGCAGAAGTTCACATCTGTGATGTGAATGAATGAAAATAAACCTCAGGACTGGAAGGGGCCCTCTCCTGCTTGGCTCCCCAAGCACCTTCATCATGCCACTATACCCCTCAGTATGTGCACCTGTGTATGTGCCCTGGACACTCACAGATGTAATAGTAGCTGTGTCCTTCTTTGAACTCCTTGGCCAGGGTGAAAGGTGTGAAGCGCTGGAACCTCTCAGACAGCTTCTCTGGGCCACGCTTGGCACTGGGCTGGTTGCATCTCCAGCGGACCCGGTCCTTGGATTGGGGCTGGCACAGCTGGTACTCCTCACGCTCCACCAGGTATAGCGTGTACTGCTCCATGTCAGCATCTGCCACCAAGTCATCCTCATAATGCGGACAGATGATGTCCAGGTAGTCATTCAGTCGCACATGTACTGTGTAATCCTCATTCCAGAACCTGGGCACACACAGAGGGGTAGGAAGCAGGGGGGGGTCATCAGAAGCCAGGCTAGAGCCTCAGGCTTCCAAATGATTATATGATCTCTCTCATTTCACACCGGACCCCCTAGGTTTTTCTAAAATTTCGGCTCCCAATATGTACTGATCTTGTCTACGGCCATGCTGCCCTGAACGTGTCCGATCTCATCTGATCTCAGAAGCTAAGCAGGGTCAAGCCTGGTTAGTACTTGGATGGGAGACCAATGTGTACTGACCTTGTCCCTTACACATCTCTCCACCATCTCTAAACATTCCCCTCTGCCTGCTGTCTCCTATTGGTCCTTCAAGTCGCATCCTCTCAGTATCTTTCAGGTACCCAAGCACTTTCCATAACCCGCCCCCCAATATCTACCTAGGGATGGGCTTCTACTTATTTTTGTAGATAACTCACTGTTCTCTTTCACTCATAAATAGTTCTCCAAATCTATTCTATCAGATGCTCCTTTTAAATGCTATTAGCCTTCAATCTGAGACCCTACTTGGGGGCCCTTTTGTAATTGGGGTCCAAGCAACCCTTTCTCTTTACCATGCTAACCCTGCGCCCCCAACACATCTATGTCTTCGATTCTCTCGCTCCTGTCATTTCTCCCCAGCCCACATTTCCCAGTTCCACTTTTTCCCAAGCCCTTAGTATACCCAGGCCCACAGATAATGGCCCTAGTCCCTTCAGCTAAATCATTCTCAGAAATTCATTCAGTCCCTCAAATCTCTCTTTTTAGCTGCTCAAATGTATGCCCTGGTCTCCCTGTCCCTTTCTCTCAGAGCATCCCAAAACATCCTTGTCTCTTCATTTCCAAAAGCCACACTGTCACCTCTCCACAGTGCTAAACTTCTCTGAGACTGCCTCTACCCTCCTCTCCTACCAAGGTGGAGCCAGCTCCCCTGCCCTAATCCATTCCCCCCAGGCCCCTAAGGCTCCAGCCTGACTGCCCACCAGCTCCTCCCCACCAACTCCAGACACCTGGCTCCGGTCTGGATGGGGTCCCAGTCAGGGGGAAAGTGCTTCTCCCCACCCCCCAAGCTGGTCAGCTTCTCTAATTCCCCCAAGCACTGCCAGCTGAGGACTCAGCAGAGTTAGCCGCCAACTTGCTTCAAACCAAAACCCTGGCTGGGCACAGAGTTGGGGGGTTAGGCTGAGAGTACTTTGAGGTGGGCACCCACTGCCCAGTCAACAGGACCCCTAAGGGGCCTGGCTTTGCAGCAGCCAGCAGGCACTCAAGCTGGGTTTACCAGGGCCCCTCCCCCACCCCAGGGAAAAGAGAGCGAGGAGCAGAGAGAGGCTTTTAAAATTCCTCTCTGGAGAGATAAACATAGAAGCCATTTCAGAACAGGTATTTCAGCCCTGGGCCTGGCGTCTTTCCCTCATTCCCGTGACGGGCACTGACTCATTCCTCATCCACCTCTGCTACCCGCCCCAGCGTTCATGAGAACCTGTGAAAATGTACCTTGTCAAATATGGACAGCCCTCAAGACCCCAGGATGGCACAGCGCCCGCCTGCCCTGAGCACTGCACTCCAGACAGAGGGAGCTGGCAGGTCTAAATGGACAGGGTATCTGCCCCTCCAGCAAAGGAGGCCAGTGCCCAGCTCACAGTGGCACCGCCCTTCTTGCCATGCTGTCCCCGCCCGGGGCTTGGAGATCCCAGGCCAATGCCCACTGCCCTGAGTCACCTATGCCAGTCTCACACCCGCCCAGCTCATACCACCTCCATATCTGCCCCCAAGCTGAGCCCGGCTTGGCTGCCTACGGACTCTACTCTGGACTGGCTTCTCTTTAGTCTTGAGTATGATTCGGGGTGTGTGTGTGTGTGTGTGTGTGTCCAGGACACGGCAGACGCTGTGCTTGGTGGAGGCGCCATCACCCTCCCCTCTCTCCTGGGAGACAATCTGCCCACTTAGCCCTCATTTGACTCTTGCTCTCCATCTGAGAAAGGGGGGCAGCGGCGTCAGGGAAGGCGGGGAGGGGGGCAAGGAAGAGGCTCCTTCCTGAAAGAGAGGAAACCTGGGAGCTTGGGAACGGAAAAGGCCAGGGCCCCCCCCCTACTCATGGCTTCCTGTCCCCTCCTCTTCCTTCAGTCAACACCTGGCATGGGCATAAACAGGGACTTTGCTCTCTCCCACTACTAGGACGAGACTGGGCCAAGGAGGCAAAGAACAGGCAGTGAGGAGCAGTCGGGGGAGGACTGGCTGCACTGCCCTGCCACCCCACGGGCAGAAAGGCATTGCCCTCTGGGGGTGGCAGCTGGCTGTCCCTCCCCCACTCCAACAAGCCACAAACAGACTCCCCCAGCAGACAATGCCACAGGGTCGGAGGAAGCTGGCACAGAATATTTCTCCAGGGGGTGGGGGGCAGGAGCGCCAGAGCTGAGGGTGGCTAAGCTGCGTGTGCAAAGTGTTGTGAAATGATTTTCGTGATCTCAGCTGCCCAGCTCGCCTGTCCCTACTCCTCCCTACCCCTCCTCCAGTGTTCCCGAAAATACTGTTCCCGTAACTTTGAATACTCAGGGGCAAGAACAAAGGGTCCGACAGAGTCTTCCACCCGGTACCATTTGCCTCACAACCCTAGACCTGCCAGGGCGGAATTAACTCCTTCCTGCCCAGAGCCCCCGGGTAACCCCTTTAACCCCTTCTATTCCTTTGGAAGCATTCCCATGACCTCCCTCCCCCCATTCCTTCAGTTTTTCTACTTAAATCCCATAAGATTCCCTCCACCATCCATGCACAGAATGTGCCTCACTCATGGCACCCCCAAAAGAACCCTTGTGAGGGGTATCCGGGGATGCCTCAAATGCAAAATGAATGCGTAGTGCCGGCGTCCCAAGTCCCTCCCGGAGGGTCCTTCCAAGGTACCTGTCAGTCTGGGCAGATGCCCAAGAGACACATAAGGAGGCCCGTGGGGGCGGGGGGCAGGGAGGATGGTCCTACGACAGAGCAGGAACTGCTCAGCATGGCTCCCTCACTTCAGAGTACTAGGGGTGCTAGAGAGAAGGGAAGGGCAGAAATAGGCTCATGCAAGCAGATACGAGCAGGTTCCTGCCCTGGGGGCGCGGGGTGCTCCCACTTATAAGGGAGATGGCGAGGGAAGGAAAATCCAGACTCCCTCCCGCCTCTGGTCACCTCCCCTAGGGTCGGGCCAGGGGTTGGCCAGGACAGTTATCCTGGGGGGGGGGCAGGAGGCAGTGCCTGCCGGGCGCCCAGGCTGCCAGCGGTAGACTCGGGCTTACTTGGGATTTGAACTGTTCCAGAAGACGGTGTGGCGATCAGCAGCGGCCAGAATGCAGCACAGACCCAAGAGAGGAACCCAGAGGAACTCCATAGCGCGGCGCCTGGCCAGGCCGGGCGGGGACGAGGGTCCCCGGGTTCTGGGCTCCCGCTGGCTTTCTCCACCGCGCAGGCAGCACGGAGCGCACAGATCTGGCCCCTTCGCCTGGCGA